TTTTTCGCCTTTTAGATTTGTTTCTTTTCAGGAAACTGACTGAAAACCTCATAAAGGAGACAATTTTAGGCTTAATATTTTATTTGCGAAAGTTCATAGTGATATCAATCACGTTTGTGGTCTAAGCCGATCTCTTAAGGTTTGCTTTAGTTTAAATTGACCAAGTGCATGCGGAGGATAGGACTTTTTAGTGCATGTATGTGGCAAAGATGTGGTAGTTCCATGCAACTTGCCAGAACAAATGTTTTAGCCACACCCACTGGCTCAAAATGCATAAATTAGTTTTACCTTTGCATGCATTATTTAATGTTATTTTACCATTGTGTGCAAAATTTCAAGTAAAGAGCTGTATCAGTAGGTCTACAATTGGAGGGGCTAAAAAGCTATGGCTGCATGTACAGCCATACTCATTAAAATGTGCATAATTTCAATATAAAACACATGAAATTAACGTAATCAGTGGCAAAACTACATTAAATGAAAAACACTGTTATTGTGTTGATGTAATAGATTCTATTCATGTGTTGTACACATTTAAACCAAGTATATTCAGTGCATCACTTTATAGTGAACCAGCCCGGCATTCCAATTCGGGAATAGAAAGGCATTCCCAGATGTCAGTTCCACACCTGCCATCTTGTGAAAGGTTCTCATCAGTGGCATATCTACTAAGGGAGCCATGGCCCTCCTAAAATCTTTATTGGAACCTCCAATTCCAGCATAACTGACCGGTTAGCGTCCATCAGTCAGTCTCAACGTATGTTTATCACCCTCTTATTCATGATGCATCCTTGGGAACCTTTTTTAAACTCTGCAACATCACAAATCCATTAAATATAACTACAGTTTTAAAAAAGGCAGTTAACATCAGCATTCAGGTTAAAGTTCGATGCTAGCAGGTGGAGTGGCAGAACCCTAGTTACGCCACTGACTCTGATTCTTAGGTTCTACTGAGGAGCTTACAGAACTGTATCACGAGAGGCTTTTCCATTTTTGGTCATAGAACTACAGTGAAGAGCTCCCTGCATCATCTCCACAAGAGCCTTTAGCTAACCTCAGGTAGCCATGTGTAATCCCTTTATCGTTTGTGCATTCCAACTGCAAGTGATGACACTAATTTAGTAAGCATTAGCTAACATTAGGGGCGTGTCTATGGGTGGGCTGGAGTGGGCGTTGCCCACCAAGAGGAATCAACTGGCCATCCAATGAAAACTCATTCATAGGTTTTATTATCAAAGCTAATTTTGTCATTGCTCATCAAAAAATGCACTGCTTTTCTACTGGCTTTGAAAGTCTCAACGTTTTGTTGTTGCCCACCCTAATAATTCAAATGGCCACCCAAAGATGAGATCCTAGAAACACCTCTGATTGGTTCCAGCAGTCAGTTGAAAAGAGTTGAAAGCGGCAGGAACGACAGTCACAGAACAAAAGGTAACGAACTGCACCACAATCATCACCCCACACAATGTGCACACGAGCATCAACACAAACCAGAACCCTTGGAACAATGTGTTCTGGTCAGATGAACCTAAAACAGAACTATCTGGCAATAATTGAGCTCATCATGTTTGGAGAAAGAAGCGTTGATCCCAAGATGACCCACAGGGAAGTACGAAGGTGGGAGCATCATGATCATGAGGCTGCTTCTCTGCGAACAGTATGTCATCGAAGGAAACATGACTCAATCGATTACCAAGATATATGGCTTTTGTTTCTCAATTTAAAGTGTTTTTCACACTGGGGCCCATAAGATCCTTCTGATTCTCAGAAGGGTTTCACTGAGAAGTCTACAAAGCTGTGAGAGCCTTTTCCCTTTTTCTACAGTGAAGAGCTCCCTGCATCATCTCCACGAGACCCTTTAGCTAACATTAGATAGCCGTTATCGTCTGCATGCAGTTGCAAATGATGACGGTAGACATTAATAAATCGCTGTTGTCAGAATAAAACCTTGTATCTCCAAAATGGTAACTTTACAGGAGAGGGAAAAAACATACTTTACTTTTAACGTAAGTCAATGGAACCAGAATTTTTTCCAAGTAGTTTTGGGCCGCTTCATTTGGTCCGTTCATCATGAAATTTACATACAATGTAAAGGACAATAAGCATTTTCAAAATATGTCAAAAACTGAAAAGCGACAAAAATGGAGATACGATGTTTTGTTCCGACAGCAGCGAAATATTAACTTGTTAACATTAGCTGACAGGCAAAGGGAAGGTAAGTATAGTGTTGGCCAACAGCTGTTACAGCCTTTTTTTCCACAAACGATGAACATGTCCTTTTCAACAACCAACTGGAATACTGCCAAGGCCATAACTAGCATGTAGTCACTCAGTGTGGAAGCAGTGACGTCCTGATGACGTGGTGGCCTGCTGTGCTGAAAAGCTTGCATCACAAAACTGGTTCTCAGCTGAGCTCAGAACAGCTGTGGTTAAGCATAGAAGCGTAGACATACCGCCCACCATGTTTAGCTTTGGACAAGATGTTACACCACCCAGAGTGTCTTATTGAGATGTTCAGGTCTGCGACACACATACTATAGTCTAACATCTGGCACAGCTAGGCTGTAAATGTGAGGATTTGTGAGGGAGATTCTGTGTGTAAAATGTAAACCTCATTTGATTTCCAACCTTTTTAAACTACTTATAACATAGCTACCTAAATTAGCATGCTATGGCCCCATGTGTCAAACATAAGGCCCACGGGCCAAGTGACACAGCCCTATTTGGCACATTCGGCACCTGTAACACAGTCCTATTCAGCCCGCAAAATTATTTTAATTTTCTATTCTTAGTAGCTCGTATGACTCTGATATTTACTACAGTCCCCAGCATGCACTGCAACGTAATGTGCATTCTGATCGCCTTCGCCCAGCAGCAATCTGTGGGCCTGCAGCTACTCAAAAAGAAAAGATGCCTGGTGTCTAGTTCAGGCAAATAGGCAGTTTTTAAAAAACTACCTAAAACACTTTCATTTTATTTAGAATTTTTTTGGAATAAGTATTCAGTGCCTGATGCTCTTTCAGTGATTGAGTTTGACACCCCTGCTATAACCTATCTGCAGTTTAGGCTACAAGATCAGTGGCAAATACATTAGCAAAAAGAACTTAATGGCAATTCAGTGGTGCGTTATATTACTTACTCATATTACTACAAGCATGAGAGTTTACTGTTAACTAGTATATTTGTGGCGTAGTGTCATTTAAAGTAACAGTACTACTTTATGGCAGAGTGGTAGAATGAGAAATTACATTATATAAGTGAGTAAAAACGCGTATACAGATACTTTTTGTTATTTAACATACTTCCAGTGCATATATCTATATATCACGTAATGTCTTTTGTACTTCCGCACAAAAGTATAGATTCATAAGCCTAAATGAAGATATGTTCAAACAGTGAAATTGACAGGGAAAGAAGTATTCAGACACTATTAACATATGAATAACTGTAAAGGTTACAAATAAATCACTGCTGTCGGGATAAAACCTCATATCTCAATTTTTGTCATTCTCCAGTTTGGCATAGTTTGGAAGTGTCTGTTGTCCTTTACATTGTGTGTTAATTTTAATGATGAATGGACCAAAAGAAAAATGTCTGGTTCCATTGACTTACATTAAAAGTTTTATTTATTTTTTTTATTTATTTAAGTTTTTTTCTTTCTCCTGTAAAGTTACCATTTTGGAGATATGAGGTTTTGATCTAACAGTAGCAAAATACAAATGAAGTTCTATGTTTTAATACAAATATATTAATGTATTCTGTTTATTAAGATGAATTAGAACCCATGCAAATGCGCCTGGTTGGAGTCATACATGCCTAAAAAATAGTTCTTCAAGGATTCTTTAGTAAAGAAAATGGCTCTATATAGAACCATGAACACTCAAAGAACCCTTTGCATGATTTAAGGGTCCTTTGCATCATTAAAGAGTTCTTTATATTGATGGAGAATGTGCTGTGGATGGTTCTATATAGAACCTTTTTGGAAATGGTTCTTCTACTGTTATGATGTCAAGCCTGTAACAACAGAAGAACCCTTTTTGATGCTATATAGAACCCTTTAAAAAAGGCTCTATATAGAACCACGTACAGCACATTCTCCATCAGTTGAAAAAACATTTTCACAATGCAAAGAACCTTTTAATCATGCAAAGGATTCTTTGACTGATCATGATTCTGTATGGAACCATTTTCTTTACTAAAGAACCTTTGAGGAACCATCTTTTTTAAGAGTGTACTAATAGTAAGCCAGCACTTTGTGATCTAAGTAGGCGTGACGGTTCATAATAAGAGAGAAGTTCACTCAGGTACTCAGGGGCCGTTCAGAGCTTTATATGTCAGTGAAAGAGTTTTGTACTGAATTTAACTGGCAGCCAGTGTAGGTTTGATAAAACTGGGCTGATACGCTCAAAGTCTTCTTTTTAGCACTAGTTTTGTTGTAAATATTACTTTTTCATCCCAAAACTCTGACGTCGTACATTGCTATAGCAAACTTGAACCACCAGAGGGCAGAACAAGACAGCGTTAATCAGGCAAATCAAATTAAGAAGAAGTGCGGAACGTAAAAACAGTTTTTTTGCTCATACATAATTTCGATCACGGGTTAAAAATCTAGGATTTATGTGAAACGGTACGTTTTGGTGATCATAAAACCGCAGTAGCTGCGAGTACCTTGGGACAGCGAAAGAGTTTTCTGAGCTGTTTAAGTGTGAAGATTTAAAAAAAACACAACTGAACTACAAATCCCATGACCGGGTGCCGACACCGCTTCGTAGAAAGTGTGGCCGTGACGTCATCAGTCCGACTGGAATTGTAGTCCTTTCTAAGGAAACGCTCGTAAAACGTTTATTTCTGTTTTTTTACTGTCAGTTCGGCATTTGGGACATTGAACCAGTGTCAAATATAGCAGAACAGTGAATACTGACACGGCACATTACGCTATATAATCTATAATGTGCATCACGACTAATTCAGCCTGTGTTTTTTGAAGACAAACAGCAGGGGGCGCCCTGATGAGTTTCGATTTCCATCCTATATATATTCCCGAATTTGATTTGAGTTGCACGTTTCGTGTAGGAGCTGTGAGCCTTTCGACATGAAGAGTAAGTATAAGAAAAGCCTTTTTATCCTCGTAAAGCCGAATGTGGAGCCTGAGCACTTTAGGATTTTGAGCCAAAAATGCATTAAGACTGTGTGAGGACGTTTAACTTATGCTCTACTCTAAAGGGTTGTACTGGTTTGCTGACTCGCTAGCCCACATGTTTTAATATGTTTTTTTTTTTTATCTGTCCGTTTTTCCCTTTCAGAGGTGTTGACTGTGGTTGGGATTACAGCAGGTGCAGGTAAGGTTTCAAACATTTCGACATGTAGGTTCTCCCCAGTGAACTGCAATGCAGCATCTATCACTGTAGAAAAGCATCCATCAGCGTGAGAAGTGAGTTTATTGGGCTCTTTTCTTCTCTTTTTGGGATGCTTTGGGTCTAAAACGCTGAAGTGAGAGGTGAGAGCAAATGCAAAAAGTAAAAATGATAGAACTAAATAGTAAAAAAGAAGATTATTTTCCTCACAGACGCACTGAAAATTTCACTTTAGTACCTGAGAGTAAGAAAAATAAGTAAATAAAACTACTAAAGTTATATACCCACAAATGTTGTTGTGGGGCCATATTACATAGTCACCCTAGCAACTTTAGTTAGGACTAAATTTAGGACAGCTATTACAGAACAACAGTTATTAAGGTCATAATCTTATCCTAACTCCAGATGAGAAAACAGTATTACAGAAACTTCTTAAGTGTGAAATCTTATCTGCTTAGTCACCCTAGCAACTTTAACCTAGTTAGGACTGAATTTGGGACAGAAGCTGTTACAGAACAACAGTTCTTAAGGTCATAATCTTATCCTAACTCCAGAAGAGAAAACAGTATTACAGAAACATCCTAACTAGACTAAATCTCCTAATTTCAGTCCTAACTTTCAGATAAACCCCAGAGAGTCTCGACCTCTGTTTGAACCGTCTGTTTCTATTGTTTTGTGCAGTGACAGGCAGCCCAGTTCACTGTAGGTAGCATAATAACGCTACATTTATCTACACTGAAAACGGAGCTTTGACTTGAGTTTTTTTTTCTAACAGCGTTTTAAAAACCTCAGACGCTGCAGACACAAACTCTCCGGGAAATGAAACTGAAAGTGTGGAGCGGCGACGCCCTGATGAAACAGCACGACACGGAGTTTTTAACTTTGTTTATCGCGCTTTAGTTTCGTTTGACCCTTTCTGTACATCAGAAACGGTGTGTAGCTGCCTGGCTAACGAGCTTCATTACTCTGATTACGTATTTACGTTTCAGCTGTGGGCGCGGTTGCTAGGTAACAGACATGCCAGTCGATTGTCGACCGCGATGGAGTAAGTTAAGGTTTCTTAACTTGAGATAAGACGCTGTAAGATCTTAAGATCTTAAGTCAGAACTTAAGAGAAAAAGATACACACATATACATATATAATACATATCTACAGGCCCAGCCAGCAACACTGGGGCCGTATAACAGAAACTTGTATATGTTATAAATATATTTATATATAAACACATACTTTTAATGTAAGTCAATGAACACATATTTTTTTCCAAAGTCATTTTGGCTCTTTTTTTTTGGTCCATTCATTGTGAAATTTACACACAATGTAAAGAGCAACAGGTATTTAAACCTATGTCAAAAACTGAAAAATACGGAGCCCCGCTGGCGACATCCTGTATAAATAAAAATAATGCTTAGTAAGGCGTGGGAATGAGATCCTAATGTGTGGCCACGACTTAGTAAGCCGTGATCTCGTTCCCACGCCTTACTAAGTCACGCATTATTTTTATTTATACAGGATGTCACCAGCGGGGCTCCGTAGAAAAACGACAAAACTTGAGATACGAGGTTTTGTTCTGACAGCAGCGATATACGTTCATATCCCCACACTGGCGCTGCATCTCAAACGGCTTCCTGCTGCCTACATAGAGCTTTATGTAGGAATCTAAACACTGCCTCCTGCACCCCAACAGTTCATAATATAGCTAAAATATGTTCATTTGGGATTCAGGCAACATCCTCGACAAATAGTGCACTGTTTGGCTGTAGAAGCTAGAATTTTAAAACTTACATAGAACACTGTTTAGGGAGTACAGAGCCGAGACTCAGTCTGGGTTTGACGCTACTTCTGACTGAAACACGGAAATTTGAAGTATGTAAGACATTGAAGTGACATCCTGTAGACTTTTACATTGCTGTTTTACAGCCAATCATATGGTAAGAACTTCAGTTCAAAGCTGTGATATTAATGATGGAGTTGTTTAGCATGTTTGCTATCTTTTAGCCTGTTAGCTAGCTGACCCGCCCAGTTCTAGTTGAGCTGCAAGCCCCTCAGTTTAAACAAAAACAGGTTCTCGTTTCCTCAGTACACTCGGTGCTCCATGACAGCAGCATTAGAGTAAACATTATTCCATTAACAGCAGAAGGATTTTTCGAGGCGCAGTAATACACAGTTCAGTTGTTGTGAGGCAGTTGGTGTACATATATTGAGCATTTTACAACGGCTTTGAACATGGCTCAGCCAATCAGATTCCACAACCGTAACGATCTGTTTTACAATACCGAGCCGAGAGCTGGCCTTAGCCCTGTGTTTTCCACTTTGTTTTGTATGCTGCTTTGAGTTTTCGAGTGAAGCGAAGTACCAGAACCTCGAGTCCTCCGAGTTTCTTGGGAAACCCCCACATCACAGTATTCAAAGCGCAGGACGTTATTACATTATCTGATTTTTTTAAGTATAAAAAGCGATATTATGCTGTTTTAGGGGTTCAAAACAGCTCTGCATATATGTTCCCATCATGCACCTCAATCCACTTGTGTTTTAATGACGCACCACCAAAACCAACAGTTGGCAAAGGAAGCAGTTCGGCTCGCCGTAATGAAAATGCAGTGTTGACAGTGTTAACTGAATGAAACATAAAAATACAAACTCTAAAACAAGCATGTGTACGTCTTTAATACATTCAAATGATTTCAAAGCGCAGATCTTTTATATATACTTTATTTTTAGCAATTAAACAATCCTAAAATCTAGGGGGTGCTGCTGTACCCTCAGCACCCTTACTTCCTGCATCCGTGGGGTGGATTGTTGTTTTTTACTCTTTTTATTTTCTATGAATGAGTCAAGAGAATAAAACCGGTGTTGAATGATGCTCTACTTTTCTGTGTTTTGCAGCCTCTGCAGTGTTGCTGGCTCCTGTTGCTCTCACAGCAGCAGGTTTCACCTCCGCAGGAATCGCTGCAGGTTCACTAGCCGCCAGCATGATGTCCTCAGCTGCCATAGCCAACGGGGGCGGAGTCGCTGCCGGCAGTTTGGTGGCTGTTCTTCAGTCAGCAGGTGGGCCGCTGCGTCATTACCAGTCAGTCCATCAGTTAATTAGTATGATTGTAGCAGCAAAGATAGGTAAACGTTTCTAACAGCGGAACAAAACTGGAAGGCTAAATAAAAGAGAAGATCCAGTGTAGCTTCGTACCTCCTGCACTCTTTTAATAGGAGAGAAACGGAACAAAACTTGAACAGGAAACAACATAATCAGTCTGTGAAGTAGAACTGCTGATACAGCACTTCACTCTGCTGGCTGACACGGCTAACAACAACAAAAAGAAAGGCAGTGACTCTAAACTGTAAAGTTTTTGCCCACACGGAGCAAATATTCACATAATTTATGTACGACTGCTGACTTTTGTATAGGCCTCTGAACACGTGCAGCATTCTGTAGTTGTTATTATTATAAAATTAATCATATTTAGCTCCGTCTTTCAGTTTACATTGGTTTTGAGTTTTAAAAATAATCTGATAATGAATATGCAACTCAATTTGTAATTTAAAAATAAAGCCTCACCATCAAAATTCTTGCACTTTCAGCTCACAGACACTCCAGACTAACAATTTCTGAAAAGATATCTACAATTTCACTTGTTTTCAAGGTCTTTATAAGTAAGAAGTTACAAATCTAGGTAAATTTTTGGTCAGAAATGACCCAAATTCATAAAGATATCAAATTTCTATTAGCATTTACATGTCAAACAATGGCATATCTGAGTAGCCCAGGGCTTCCTGAAAATAACAACATATGGCATGTGTGAGTGTCTCATGTAAATACTTGGTCTAGGGTTCTAAGGGTTAAGCCATTTCTCTCTATTGGAAAAAAAAGAAACGACAGTTTCAAAAACTGATGCTTTGGTAAAGAATAAGTGTTTTGTTGTAACAGCAAAACCGATAGTCTGTTGTTTTCAATGGAGTGGCGACCACCCCGAGCAGTCAGCCAGATGTTTCGTCAACTTTTCATATCAGTCAGGGTGGTGAAATAAGCCAGAGGTTAAAATTTTAGGCGCATCTAGTTTTGTACAAAGCATCCACCTGCCTTTTTCCACCTTAAAGGGGAATTCCACCCAAAGTGTCTGGATAATTCAGTGGTTGAGATGTAAACAAAGTCATTCAGAGTGGTTTGGTGTGAAATGGTTGATTGTAGAGATTTCTTTACAGTCGTGGTGATAGGAACCAGGGGTCGCCATGACTACAACACAAATATAGCCATTCTTTTTATTATCCAAAACGACCAGTGAACCTACACGAGTCTTCTGAGCTTTTATATGTAATGTTCATAGTGCTAAAATGTTGGAAAATCTGAAAAAATAAGTGTTATTTTGCCTTACAAAGCCCTGCACGTATCCCTCCAATGAATGGATTAAAATAAATGAATTAAAATATATTTTAAGCCAAAACTTAATCAAAAAACTATCATAGGACAGTGTGTCAGACATCAGGCAGTGTATATCTAACCATTTCATGTAATAACTTTCTGAGAGGGAGCTTTTAGAGGTGGACGTCTGGTTCCTATCACCACAACTGTGAACAGTTCTGACTCTGTAGTTTCTCTCTTAACCAATTAATTATGTAGAATTTGTGAAAAATTGGTGGAGTTCCCCTTTAAGTAAACAATCAACAGCTAAAGCTCTCCTCTGATAATCGCCCATTTCACCTGTCACGGTCACCATGGCAACGTTTTCATGACTTCATCCAACCGCTGTGGCACAGCACCACTCTCAGGATCGTTTGTTGTTGTTGTTGTTGTTGTTGTTGTTGTTTTGTTTGTCCTGTGTAAATGCAGCATTAGTGTTGTGTATAGTGTGTTAGTATAATATACTAATGTGTTACGTCTTCTGTTAAATTTGATTAACAAATAAATTATAGTTTCAGTTGATGATTTAATTCATCATTAAATTAGATGTAAGTGATCGTTAAACAAAATCCTCTGCTAGAAACAACACATTACACCAAGTGTGAGTCTATTTCTAAACATTTGTCCCCTCTGCTCCGCAGGTGCTGCAGGCTTGACAGCAGGTATGACAGCAGCTGTAGGATCTGTAGGTGGAGTAGTAGGTGGAGTGGTAGGTGGAGTAACTGGATGGGTGGTCAACAAAAAGCCCCCAAAACCTCCCTCCTCTCCACCTCCAGACCACAAGCAACCAAACCCACCAGACCACAAGAGTGAATCTTCATCCAGCGAAGATGAGGATGACGATGGAGGGCCTTACAGCTGGCCTCCTTCTACAGAGCTGCAGAAGTGATATGCAGTGTCTTACAATAAAGCTTTTCATGTTTTTTTTTTTTTGTGCCACAACATAGACATGTCATTTTGTACTATTGTGAGTCACAATAAACTCTGAAACTATAAGACGTGCCTTGTGTCATGTGGAACAATCTGTATCCCAGTCAACATTCGGCCATTGAATCAATGCTGAAATCAAATACACAGTTTAAACTTTCCACCAATTTGTGTTTCTCCATAATTTAATGGTTAAGATGTAAAGAAGGTCATTCTGAGCGGTTTGCTGTGAAATGATCCATCCTAGAGAAACTGACTCAGATTTCTTTACAGTGGTGGTGAAAGGAACCAGAGGTCGCAAATATAGCCCTTTTATAAACTAAGTATATATAACTATACTAAGAGTTTTTGTATGCAGTAATAAAATATAAAACATAGTGGTCAGTCTGAGCGCTGTTTCACGTCCCAACTCTCCTCCCTTTACAAATACATTTTAGGCCAAAAGCTGATCTCCGATCTGTCATAAAACAATGTCTTTGGCTTCGGACATCTTCATTACCATTTCGTACAGTTAGAAATGAAGGTTCTGTGCAGGTACATTTTTCGTTCATCAAGGAACAAACAATGTAAATGTTCCCTCAAAGGTACAACAGTGGTTTTAAGGTCCAGTTGTGAACCTTAAATAAGTTTTTCCAGGTGAAAAGTTCGTATTTGTACCTTTTCATAACCAAATGTTTTAAAACAGAACAGTAAAATAAAAGCCTGGAGATGAGACGGGGTGTGTGGAGTCAGTGCAGCTTAGGAACTATCATTTCAATGGATTGTGGTTCAGTTATGTTCCCTGTCTAAAGGTACTGAGATGTACCCTTGAGGGTACCAACTGACAAGAGGGGTACTGCCCCAGTGACAGTTTAGTACCTTTATTTCTGAGAGTGTACAATAACTTTACGTAAGGGAGATTTTGGAGGTACTAAACTCTTCAGACGTCCGGTTCCTAACAGCACAATTCTCTCTTGGTAGCTAAAAATGAAAGTTCTTCAAGGGTTCTTAAAAAAAAAAAACACTCGGAGAACCATTTGTGTGATTAAAGTGTTCTTTAGATTGATAGAGAATGTGTTGTAGATGGTCCTGTATAGAACATTTTTGAAAAGGGTTCTATATCGCATCAAAAAGGGTTCTTCTATTGTTACATTCTTGACATTAATTACAGAGGAACCCCTTTTTTGTGCTATATAGAAAGGTTCTATATAGAATAATCTACAGCACATTTTCCATACAGGACTTGGGACTCGACTTGAGACTTGGCTGTTCTGACTTGGGACTTGAATTGAGACACAACTGTCTTGACTCGGGACTTGACTTGGGACTTACCCTGAGCTGGTTTATAAGGAGCCTAGCCTCTTCCTATTTCCCCCGTTATATCAAAAACATGACTGCAAAACTCAAAAAAATAAATGGGGGTGAATTGAGCTACATGGCTAAAAAGAAAAAGTTAAAATAGTTTCTAATCACTCACCCAGAACTTTCCTTTAATTTTCGAAAGCAGAAGGATGTATTTCACTAAAAAAGCAAAGAAATCTCACCTGTATGTTTCCTTTTTCTACAGCAAACGGGTTTTGGGCAGCAGGACACTAACATTACTGCTACTGAGTGCTGATTAGTTGGCAAGCAGAGCAGCTTATTGGCTGTTTGCGCTCACTGACGTCATGATGGACCTGAGGCAGCGTTTTAAACCCCTGTAACTCGAGTTTAAAAGCTCTTAAAAAATATAACAGCGGTGTTAAAATGTTTTGTGCTGTTTAGTGTTCAGGAAATAAATGTTTTTCTTTTACATTAAAAATGTTTAAGCATTTATAAACTATGCTATTGCTTAAATGCTCCATCTTAACCCGTTCATTTTGGACTCGCTCGGGAGCGCCCTCTAGAGTTTGAGAAACCCGGAAGACATTACAGAGTGGTAATTCTCCTTTCTACAAGTTCTCTGGACTAACTTGTTATTTGCAACTCAGTGACTTGTTCCCAGCTCTGCTGTATAAATGAATTTGCCTCACCAAATATTACCTTTTCATTTCAAAACTCTCGTACAAGTCTTATATTGCAACAGCAGCACAAACAACATTAATAAGGGCAATAAAATGCAACTGAACTACAAATCCCATGGCTCATTGCCGGCGCTTCGAGCGAATATGTGGCCGTGACGTCATCCGCCTGACCGGAGTTGTAGTCCGTTTTGAGGAAGGGAGTTTCTGTTATTGTTATTGACGGTGTGTTGAAGCTGTGAGCCTCTCAACATGAAGAGTAAGTGTCAGAAACGGCTTTTTATCCTTATAAAGTGAATGTGGAATGAGTCTGAGAGAAAATGCATTAAGATACGACTGTATTTCCATTAATATGCTCTTACTGTGGGGTGTTGTGCTGTTTTTCTTATCTGTCCGTTTCTCCCTTTCAGAGGTGTTGACCGCGGTTGGGGTTACAGCTGGTGCAGGTAAGGTTTCTGTATAAAATAAAATTATTTGACAAAATGAGCCTCAAACCTTTTGACACATAGCTATTTTATGTTATCCAAGGGTTATTTAGTAAAGGCTATGGTTCTATTTAAACCATGTGTTCTATGCACCCTTAGCAAAAATGGTTCTATATAGTACCAAAAAAAGGTTCTTTGGCTTATAACAATAGTGGAACGCTTTTCAAAAAGAGCTCCGTATAGAACCATCTACAATACATTCTCCATCAATCTGAAGAACCCTTCTACGATGCAACAAACCCATTAATCATACAAACTGTTCTTTGAGTGTTCATGGTTCTATTTAGAACTATTTCTTTACAAAAGATCCCCTTTGGTCACCGCCTTTTTTAAGTGTATACAGAACAGTTTTATGCGTAAATCGTTCTTTGGTGAAATGGGGCTTCAGATTGATGGAGAATGTGTTGTATATGGCTCTGTATAGAACCAAAAAGGGTTCCTTTATTGTAATGATGTAAAGCTTGTAATTGTCGCTACATAGAACCATGTTCAAAACCGGCTACAACACATTCTCCAGCAATCTGAAGAACCATTCTCCCATCAATCTGAAGAACTATTTCACCATGCAAAGTACCATTTAAGCATGAAATGGTTCTATATAAAACTCACTGGTCAGAACAGAAACATTCCCTTTACTAAAGAACCACTGAACCATCTTTTTTAAGAGAGTAGAACTGCAGTGCAGCATCTGCCACTATAAAAGAGCATCTCTGAGCATATAAAGTTATAAAGTGAAGTTAGTTGGACTTTTTTTTCTCTCTTAAAATTAACTAGAAAAATAACTAGAAAAAATGATTACATATGTCTGTATATAATATATATATATATGCAAATATTTGTTGTAATACAGATAGAACTTGTTCTGAAATCTTCAGATCCATTAAAAGTACGTTCTGTGATGTTGCGACGTTTGTTTTAAACACATCTGACCGCACTAAAACCATTGTGATGATCATGGAATAATATTTGACTGGTTTGTGTTTGTCAATCCTACTGTAAACAAACTATGTTACTTTCACACTAACTAATATTAATAATATATTCAATTATTTATTAAACAGTAGTGTATCTTATATTGTATTTTGTCATTAATTTAGCAGCTCTGCCTCACATTGTATCTATTTCTTTAACATGGAAAAATCACTTGGCTTATTGCTTTTTTACACAATCACATAAGTTTTCTCTTTTATTTTCTATAAATGAGTCAAGAGAATAAAACTGGTCTTAAATAATTCTCTAATTTTCTGTGTTTTGCAGCCTCTGCAGTGATGCTGGCTCCTCTTGCTCTCTCGGCAGCAGGCTTCACCTCCGCAGGAATCGCTGCAAGTTCTGCAGCCGCCAGCATGATGTCCTCAGCTGCCATAGCCAATGGGGGCGGAGTGGCCGCTGGCAGTTTGGTGGCTGTACTTCAGTCAGCAGGTGGGCTGCTGCGTCAGTACCAATCAGTCCAGCAGTTAATCGGTTAATCAGTATGTTTGTGGTAGCAAAGTTGGCTTTGTTACAGTGTTTGTTACAACATTTCTTACAGCGGAACGAAACCAGAAGGCTAAATAAAATAGATGATCTAGTGTAGCTTCAAATCTCCTGCACTCTTTTAGTAGAAGAAATCAAACAGAACTTAAACAGAGAAGAAAGTAATCAGTCTGCACGTCAGGGCCTAAACCATTTTTCTCTATTGGAAAAATTTTCAATTTCAAAAATTGATGCTGTAAAAATGTACAGAATGTTTTGTTGTATGTACATTTTTTCTCCAGAGGCAAAATCGGTCAGATGCTCACGGTTAAAAGACTCAAAAGAGGCTTTACTGTTTAAAGGACATTCCACAGACATAGTCAAGAAACAGGCGAGGACCAGAACAGAGCCTAAAAGGAACAAACAGAACAAACAACAAATCCAAGCAGACAATCAAATAGACAAGCAAATAGCGCTCAGTAGCTCTAGAGAAAGAAGCAACACCTCACAAGGATCTCATCTAAAGCCTGGGCTTAAATACTAAACTAAAGCTACGTTCACATTACAAGCCTCGTTGCTCAAATCCGATTTTTTTCCTCAAATCCGATCCTCTGACACGATGGTTCTCGTTTAGGTAAGTGATTCAAATCTGTCATTAATGTGACGAACCGGCATCCTGAAATGACCCTCATGAACACATCCTACTCAGTAACGCGCATCATCAGCACAAACTAACGAGCAGAACGAGCTTCACTGTGAAGATAATTAACTCTGATCAGCTATTAGCTTCATTATTAGAGCGAGACGAAGGAGAAAAAGGTGAGATGAGCTGCTTTTCCACCGTTTACAGGCTTTAACTTCTGTTCGGCGCTGCTGCCATGGTCACATTAGGGCAAAAAATCGGATTTGTTCCACTTAAACCTGGTAATGTGAACGTAGCCAAACACAAGTAACAGAAAACAGGTGAGGCATATCAGTACTCTGGTGAAGCTGATCGATGATTGGTTGATGGTTGTGGTGTGGCAGTCACGTGATCTCCCAGGGAGTTCTGGGAGATGGAGTCCATGGAAGAGGCAGGGTTAGAGGGATGCGTGACACCGAATTTGACTGGGTCCTGTGCATTACGATGCTGTTAAGGAAAGGAAATGTGAATATTGCTGCATACATGCTGCTTGCAAGCAAGCTAACACTCTTGCACATTGCAGTAATGTTGCATGAAAGTGCTATTAAGCTTCATCACTATTAAATACCAACACCAGCTACTCAGACTGTTGGCTACCACTGCCTGAACAATTGAACTACTACACTCGACAAAGCTTTCTGGCTTTTGTAGGGTAGTTGGCTGAGGTTACCAGCCTTTTAATGTGAATGCACAGCAGCGTTAATGCTGCAGTTACATACTGGCAGTTGCAAAACTTTTTTTTCAAGAGTGGTGACTTAAAAAGTCTCCCACCTTGAATAGTCAGCTGGACAGTCCATCCGAGTTCAATTTTAAGTTAAGAGTTAAATTTTTTTCAACTTTTAACATAACCTGTGGAGGTGAAATAAGCCAGAGGTTAATTTTATGATAGCTGTGGTGAAGTCCAGGTGCTTCCAGTGTTGTGCGACAAAGAAATATCTGCCTTTTTCCACCTTAAAGCAGCATTATGTAATATTTTTTTTAGCATTACTGAGTAAGAAAGAAGACGGATTTGGTGGGTGTTTTTCAGACCGCATCATATGTTTTTATGTATTAACGTCATACGCACAGGCTTAAAAAGAAGGTCAGGCTCGATGTTTAGGTCTCAAATGCAAAATCAGCATCATACTGCTGAAGATATGATGACAATAGTAGATAATTCACTCACATCCTAAGTTTTTTTCAGTGCTAACTTGTAAATGCAGCATTAGTATTGCGTATAACGTGTTAGTATAGTGTATTAATGTATTGCTTCTTCTCTGTAACTGTAATTAATGTACAATTATATGTTGTACTTGTAGATGCGAATTTAATTGACCATTAAATTCGCCGTAATTAATAGCTTTAAAAATTCCTCTGCCTGCAGCAAGACTTGTGAATTCCAAAGCCAAAACTTTCTTCACTCTCTTTTGCAGGTGCTGCAGGCTTGACGACAGGTATGACAGCAGCTGTAGGATCTGTAGGTGGGGTGGTAGGTGGAGTAACTGGATGGTTGGTTGGACGTGGCAAAAACTGATCCCACCAGACCACCAGACTGAATCTTCATCCAGCGGAGATGAGGATGAAGACGAAGTACCTTTAAACTCCTTCCAGCCAGCTGCAGAGATGATTTACAGTGTCTTGCAGTGAAACTTTTCGTATTTTTGCTTGACACAATACATTTAGACATCGCCTGACACAATGAACTCTGACACATTATGACGTGCCTCGTGTCATCATGTGGAACAGGTCATGTCCCTTACATATATAAATAAATATTATATCCCGGTCAGCATTCAGCCGTTGAGTCAACGCTGAAATCACATACATGACCATAATTTAAAAGTTCCACCTATTTTTACAGTTTCTTCATAACTGAATGGTTCAGATTTAAACAATACATACAGAGTGGTTTGCTGTGAATTGCTCCATCCTATAGAAAGAAATCTTTACAGTGATGATTAATAAAATAGTGGTAAATGTGGGCACTGTTTTACCTCCCAACTCTCCTCCCCTTACAAATACATTTCAAGCCAAAAGCTTATCTCAAAACTGTCAAGTGTCTCTGGGATCAGGCATCTTCATTACCATTTCATACAATAACTTTACATGAGGGAGATTTTAGAAGTATTAAACTCTTCAGACGTCTGGTTCCCAATACCACAGTTCTCTCTACGCCCCAATTCCGTTTCTTATTTTTACCCTTACCCCTTGTTTTTGAGTGTCCCCTTGCCTCTTAAATGGGACCCTCAAATAAAGAAAAGCATTACTTCATTAACAGCTATTAGAGCTGCTCTGTAGGCGACCCTGCCAGTCTGCAGTGACAGCAGAGGAGGGTAAAGTTCAGCTCCTCACTGCTGGGCTTTAGTTACATTTAGAGCATCATATGCTTTTAAAGAGGGGGCAATTATTTGTTATCGCCCACCCCCTAATTCTTCAGTGATATGAAGCTGAATCAGATATTCACCACCTTCTTGTTCGAATTTTCCCATTCCACCTTAAATGGAGCAGCAGTTATGTTCTGGCACTTCAGGCATCAGTACTAGACTATTTAAGGTGGACCAGGAAATTTAGCTAGTTAGTTACCGAGACATTAGCATACTATTAGCATTTTTTATGCTTGTTATGAAGAAAACGACCATAATACATTGAAACCACAATAAAGTATGACAAAACAATGGTTATTGTAATTTTTAGGGGAGAAAATTTTCACATTTGTGGGTTTCTTTGATCGTTTGCACAGCCATCTTGCTGGTTTTTCTCTTTTTTCTCGTAACACTGTTCAGAGTTTGTCTCTGAAAAACCTCAGTTTGGAGGGCCATGGAACCCTAACACTTCGCCCTACCCCTCTATCTCAACAAAAATCGGGACACCTCACCCCTACGCGTGAAAGCGCAAAACGGAGGGCTAAGGGATAAATGGTAGGGGCGAGGGGTGAAATGGGATTGGGCCTGAGTTTCTCTAAGAAGAAGCATTTCCAATCAAACCACTCGGAATGACTTTGTTTACATCTTACCGACTCTGCCTCATTTGTCAGTTACTTTGGTACTTTGGTAATGGACTGTATCTGATGCTGTAGGTACAGTTGGCAGAGATTATCCACAATACTAGCATTAAAAAAATTAAACTAGTAAAGTGTAACTCCAAGTAAAGTGTTACCCAGCTTGTCTTGTAGATGTTTGCATGTCCTTGCAGTAAATTTGGAAATAAAAAATATTATACAGTGACCTTAATAAGTTTTCGGACACATTGACCATAGGCAGACTGACAGAAAGTTTTTAGGCTACTTAATAAAATCGTGTCTGTTTTATCAGATAAAAACACTTCAGACTGATGGTTGACTTTGTGTGGGGAAAGCCTGGAGAAGAATTCCAACCAGACTGCACTCAGGCTACTGTAAATGGGCTGTTTTTCTAACAATAGCTTTGGTGAGCTTGATGGGATCATGAACTCTGATGTGTACAGTGACATTTTGAGTGCAAACCTGCAAAGATATAATGATCCAAAACTCACCAGATTACTTTTGAAAGAACTTTGCCAAAAATTGACAGTCTTAGAAAAAAAATCTGTTGAAAAAAAATGCCCCATAGTTTGACTTTTTGTTTCCAAATACAATAAACTTCATGATTTCTTTAAGCATCTCACCAGTCATTAAACTCACAGGTTCCATTTGTTTGTGCGCAAAAGAAAGTAATGCTTTGTGAACGTGTGTACTAATAAATCGAGTCAGTACTGATGTCATTGCAATTATTGCCCTTTTAAAATAGATACTAGAGAGTGTTTAACTGGTTGAACGGAGGAGTTCACTGTTGGTCGGAGTCTTCATTCCAAAGCTGAGAGTGGACGCAGAATCACATATGAGCTCATTGTGTTGATTCACTCCTGATCTGGGAGGGATGAGTTTCATTTCTGCAGAACTGTTCCACCTTTCAGCTGCCCTCTGAAACAACCCTGAAACGTCATCCTGAGCCTTTGTTTTGAGATTAGAACTAAAAGCAAAGTCAAATATTTGACATACTGACTCTCCAGCACCAGAAAGATAATATCTGCAATAATATAATAATGCATAACAGTACAAGATAAAATATACACAAATGGTCATCGGTTGATGTCCAGAGTCCAGCAGTTTCAATTTCCCTGCTCTGATTCAACTTTTAAGACCTGAAGCCAAGTTTTGGAGTAGCTCCTATCATTAAAGGAAAAATGAAGATCAGACAACTTCTTAAAAGTCCATAGTAAAAATTGTGGGTTATCCAGTTTCTTACTTCTGAAAGACAGGATGTAAGACAGGATGATCTGGGATTGGTTGAGTGCACTATGTTTTCAGACACCACTATAAAATGGAGGAACCCCAAAATAGTGCACTATATAGTGAATAGGGTACAGTTTGGGACACAGCTAAATAATTCCTCTTAATGTGCACAGGAATACTCAGTACCAGTACTGGTATCGGAGAACTTGTAGAGATGAGAATTCCCACTCTGCAATGGTTTCTGGGTTTCTCAAACGCTAGAGGGCGCTCTCGGGCGAGTCCAAAATGAATAGGTTGAAATGGAGCATTGGAGCAAAATCATAGTTTATAAATGCTTAAACATTTTTAATGTAAAATAATGCAATAATTTCCTGAACACAGAGCAGCATAAAACATTTTAACACCGCTGTTATATTTTTAAGAGCTTTTAAACTCGAGTTATAGTAGTAACAGCACTTCATGTATGTCCATGACGTCAGTGAATGCAAACAGCCAATGAGCTGCTCCGCTCGCCCATCAATCAGCACTCTCTAGCACTAATGCCCGCCTCCTGCTGCCCAAAACCCGTTTGCTGTAGAAAAAAGGAAACATATAGGTGAGTTTTCTTTGTTTTTTTAGTGAAGTACATCCTTCTGCCTTCTAAAATTAAAGGAAAGTTCTGGGCGAGTGATTAGAAACTGTTTTAACTTTTAGTTTTTAGCCGTTGCTGAGCTATTTACTCCCATTCATTGATGACTCACTCGCGGGCGCCCTCTGCTGTTTAGCAGTCCTGTTGTTGATATAACGAGGGGAATAGGAAGCGGCCAGGCTCCTCATAAACCGGCTCTGGTATTATTATGTGTACTTACTAAACTCAACTATCACTCGCTGCAGAACCACAAGTCCAAAGGGGTGGAGCCGGACCTGATCCAACTCCGCCCATGTCTTTTCATTGATCTAAAATCATCACATTTCTACTGGTCTTTAAATTAGTATGTGTCGCTAACGTTTTCCGCCTACGATTAAGTCCATTGGTCTACCCTGTTGCGTTTTTACCTGTGGGAAACCCGCAGGTGTTGCTGGTGTTTTTGTTTATTTTCTGATGTTGCTCCGTCCTGAACGCCACAACACAGCCTTTATAACCGCTCATGATTCACAACGTTCACACTCATTCGTCAAAACTCGAGAAGCTTCTTTTTTCACACTCCGGTACAAATCTGTTCTGTAGGCCTGCATCTCAAGGGTACTTATGATAGACGGGTTCCAGCTGAAAACACTGAACGTTTTTAAACACTAGAATGCACATATGACAGGTCAAAATAACCCACAGGATTCAGTTTTATCAACTAAATCCTGGAATTTCATAAGAGAGAGAAAATGTGTGTTATATACTTACTTTCACACTTGTATGGAGGACCAGATTTGCCAAAATGATAAATAAGTAAAATTAAAAATAAATGACTTAGTAAATTAATATATGAAGTAGAATTGCAAAGAATAATGATGATAAATCTAAAAATAAATAAATATACATAACAATTAATATATTAATAATTAAAATCTTATATAAATTAATGTCTGCATTTGTCTATTTAGTAATTTCCCCTTCTCACTAATTTTTGTATTTATTTTTTTGTTGTTTATATGTTTCTTTATTATCGTTTCTTTCTGTTTTTTTCTATTAATTTATTTTATTAATTTATTTTCATAACTATTAATTTATATATTTATTTATTTATCTATTTATTTCTGTATTTCCTTGTCCTTATGCTAATAAAGGGGCTGTCAGTCAATGATGTCACAGCGTCTTAATATTCCTATTGGATGATCGATGTCAGTTTCTGTACATGTCTTGCTCTCTCAGCGGTAACTAAGGACGAGACAGTACAGTAACGGCTGCTTACAGCAGCAGACAGTCAGAGATCTGAGTGTCTCGGCTGATCTGGCTGAAAATGCAGGTCCGGATTATTGACTCTTCCGTTGGAGGCTGCGGGGACAGTTTGGTCCATTTAGCTGATCTGCTGATTCAGAGGTCGACCCGTAGTGTTCAGAGCTTTGGAGGAGGCGGCTCATCGTCTTTTTCTGCAAATTTCAGATCACGCAGACATTCGGACGCCCTTCTCACACACTGCCTGTGGAGCCATCAAGAGTTATTTACCGGCAGGTTTGTCTGTCCGTGCAGCTCTTTATGGAGAGAAAGAGCAGTTTAATCAGCTCTTCTCCTCCTGGTCTTGATTGCTAAGCCTGAACGTGAAAAACACGCCCCCTCATTATCATATGAACGACGAAATACAGAAATAAATAAAAGAATTAATGAAAAAATAAATAAATAAATGAATTGATGAAAAAAAATGAATACATGAATCAAAGAATAAAGCGAACAATTGTTAAAAATATAGATATGGAAAAAATAAAAAAGCATTAATAAAACAAAAAAAAATACAGAAATAAATGAATTGAGAACCATAACTGCAGAAAAAGGAAATGTGTATAATTACAATCACAATAAGCAATATGTACTTTATTTATTTTTTATTGATTTATTGATTAGTTTACTGAGCCATTTATTTATTTATTTATTTATTTTTTATTTTTTTTTATTTTTTTATTTTTTTACAATTTGGCAGATCTGGTCCACCATACACTCGCACTTGATTACGTTTTACTTGAATCTGACTGGCAAGTATAGCGCGGCGGGGTGGAGTCTGATTTGGTCCAGACCAATTAAAACACGACGTAGGAGGACGTGGATCGGATCCAGCTGTACCCCCCGGACCTTTGGTTCTGCAGCGACGACAATCTCACTAAACTGGCATCTCAGTATTTGGCAAATGGAAGAAAAGCAGGGGCCGCCGTGTAGACCAATGAAAACACAGCATGGGAGGAGTTACACAGGTCCTGTTGAAGCCTCTCAGACTTGAGTTTCGTTTCTCTGGAAGAGCTCGACTGAACCAGCTTTGGCAGCATCACAAACAACAATGGACTGGGGTAAGTAAACCTGCTGTTATCTGTGTCTATGATAAGGGTGCATTTATTTAGTATTTACATACGTGGCTTTAGTATGTTAATACTGCTTATTCTTCTCTCTTCAACAGCAACTCTTGCAGGAGTGGCCGCAGGAGCAGGTGGGCTGTATCTGTGCTCATCAGGCTGCGTTAGGGTCTTCACATCTACGGTCGATGTGCTGAAATACAGTAGAGCTGCCAGGGCAGAGACCGTATTACAGAAACCTCCCATCAGATCTGACAAGTCAAAATAAGATTTTTAATAAGTCGTATTACAGGAGCAAATCTTATCTCAGTGTAGGAGTTTTATCTTATCTTACCGCGTCTTATGTCAAGACAGGAAATCTTGACCTAGGTTACTATGTCGAAGTCGACAATCAACTGTCATGTCTGTTACTTAGCAATCGGCAAAGGAGCGCAGCTGAAACGTTAACACAGTCAAAACAATGTAGAAATGTAAGTTTCAGCTCCTGTGGTCGATGTAGAAAAGGTTCAAACTAAAAGTTCAATAAACTGGAGGTTAAGTGTACTTTGGAAGCGCCCCTGCTTTTTTAGAGCGTCGTCAGTCCACAGTTTAAGTTTTCTTTTGTCGAAGCTTTAGCCGACCGTGCTAACGCTATTCCTCCTAATGAACAGTGACACGTTCAGCTCTGTCTCCGCAGTATTCACCACCATCACTGTGATATTTTATCTGATGAGTTATTATCAATATTAACACACGAATGTAATAAGAAGGGACGGTGGAGATCGTGTATGTAGTGTCCAGTTAGAAAAGAAAAAGAGTTCACGAATGAAACCACCATTTTGCAATGTGGATAAATGTAGCTAACGTCATTGTGCCAGTACGCTGCTGAAAAAGACTGTTAGAACCAGGATTAAAGCCTGATGGTTTTGCTTTGTAATGGGAATCCCAAAATCCCAAATCCCATTTCTCAAGACCGTCAAATCCATCTGAAATTAGGCCCAGAAAACCTGTTAAACCATTAGAATCCATTTTGTCTTTGTGTAATGCTGTTTTCTTGCGGATGTTTCTGTAATACGGTCTCAGGCCTCTTAGCTATCCCAGTTCCCCACAATACCTATGGTATTTGATATTCTTGATTGGTTTGGGTGAGCTGGAAGCTGGGATAGAGCAAAAATGTAGATGTAGACAAGTTTCATTTTCTGAAACTGATAGTCGTTTATCCATCGCATCGAGACTCAGTAAGTAAAGCGAGTATAAGAGCTCAGATTTGTTGTCTATAATTGGAGGATGCAGGATGTGACTTGTTTCCACCAACTGCTGACGTAGTTCTTTACACCCGGATAGCAAGCATGTTTTGGTTCACTGGCTTGATAAGGTCGGCACCCCGCTGACGGTATGCCACTGCTGGTCCACCCTCGGACCACCCAGACCACTGTTCTACATATAAGGTCAAACAGACTTTAAATGTGTGCACGCTTTTATTTTGGAAAATAAATTAAGACAATTATTTCAAAGGACAGAGAGAAAAACAGTTAAAGACAAGGCCTAATATGAAATAATTTTGTTGGAAATGTTGCTGACTTCTTGTTTACAACAGATAACGGAAGAAAGAAATGAAGGAAAAATAAGTCAATTGGACTCTGAGTGGAAAATGAGAGATGAAAAGTGGTGTTTTGCCAGCTTTGTCCTCTTGCTATCTGGCACCTTTTACATGTCAAGACCGGTTTGGTGTGTGAGGTTTGCTTCTTTGGTTTTGCACGAGAGCTACAAGGCTAATATGGCTACAATAAATGGAATTTTATACTCCACCAATTAGCATTGTGCTAACTGCATGCCTATAGTCATCACACACTTACCCTAAAACCATGTCAGTTTGTTAAATAATGTCTGATAATCTTGCTTATGTAGTTTCTGACTCTGCGTGACATGCTATTATCTGTAAACATGGGCAAAAGCAGGTAGCATAGCTAAAAACAACAGCAGCTGTACTTAGCAAACATTGCAAATAACATAGCAAAAAAAGAGTTTCAGAAGCCACTGGTCTGTACTTTTATCTATTTTTATAGATTTTTATAGATACAGTATATCACTGCTGTCGGAAAAAAAACCTCACGTCTCCTCATATCCCCCTTTTTTTGACATAAATTAAAATTTTACATTGTATGTAATTTTTATGACGAATGGACCAAAAGAAACGGCCCAGAATTATTTAGAAAAATGTATGGATCTCTTGATTTACATTAAAAGTAAAGTAGGTTTTTTTCCTTCTCCTGTAAAGTTGTCATTCTGGAGATACGAGGTTTAGCAGCAGTTTATCATACATCTTCAGAAACAGCATAATCAAGTTTGTTTGAGATTAGATAACAGTTCAACACAATTTGAGGCAAGTTAGGTGTCCTGTTTGTAATTAGCTACATTAGCTTACAGTACATTCACTCCAGTGCAGAACTATAAAAGCAGATTTTAGACACCAAACATGTCTTGGCTGATGGACTACATTACGGTAAAGCGGGGAAACGCTGTAAATTGGATTTCTGACAGTTGTTTGTTGATAGCTGCGTGAAAGCGATAAGGCTAAATAGCATCCTTCTGTGTGTCTGAAGTTGGAACAGTGGCGTTAACCCCAGTTGTGGTGTCAGCGGCGGGTTTCACCGCTGGAGGCATAGCCGCAGGATCCGTCGCCTCTTGGGTGATGTCCACTGCGGCTGTGGCTAATGGTGGAGGGGTTGTGGCTGGTAGTACTGTTGCCGTCCTACAGTCTGTTGGTAAGATGGCAGGAGGGTTTTTCACAAAGCAGGTTTTCTTAGCTAGCAGGACAGATTAAAACAGCACTTATTTAGTCAATATCTACTGCATCTGAAAAACTGTAGACTCAAAACATACGTAACGCTGAATACTGAGTACTGAGTGTGGTTCTTTTAACTTAGCACTGATATCTTTTTAGCATTATATTCTGGTATTTTTTACTCTGTACACAGACAACCACATAATTACTATATATTTACCTATTTAATACTACATACAGTACTGTAAAATAAAGTGCTACCGTAATACCTGTAATACATTGGGCATTTTCCTTGTTATTTAGGAGCAGCCGGCTTGTCTGGCGCTGCTACAACAGTCGTGGCATCTGTAGGAGGGGCTGTAGGGGGAGCCGTTGCACAAGCCATGTCATGGTTCCTGTAAAGCTAGATTCATGCTAACATGCCAACCTGAAATTGTATTTAATCTACATTAAGAAAATGTGTGCTCTATTCTATTCTATCTCAAATAAAATGATAAAAACAATGTCTTCTTGCCAGTGTGTGTGTTCTGACTGATTCAATGAAAGTAGATTAAGACGGATGAAAGTACAGTGAACAGTTAGCCTAATTTAGCATTCTGAAAGTAGATGTGAGTACAAATGAGACAGTGTACAGTCAGGTGGGTGTGGTAGAGGCCTCTGGTGTCGCCACAGTCTTTCACGGTGAAAAGTGAAAGCGACTAATCCAGCACTTTTGCTGTTTTTGTAGATGTTACATGAGCTCTTAATGGGTTTGGCTTCAGTGTGCAGCAATAAAACAGGTTAAAACAGCTACAGCCCTGTAGCAGGGCCGGAGGAATGATCTTTAAAAGATGAGGGTACAAACACAAAGGCCCATGATCAGGTCATTGCAGAGCTCATACTATCCTTGGCTTGTGAAGACCAAGTCATTATGCAACTCAAAATCAATGTGGAGAACAGAGATGCGGGAAGGCATTTTAAGTTGGAGGTGCTAAAATTTTAAGCAGTATATAAGTGGCATGAATGGTGAACAGTCATGCAAAGTAGCCTTTTTTCATTTTTTAAATTTGAATTTACATCAAACAGAGCCCATCATAACATCATGAAGTGGGTAGAGATGACAGATTTCTTTGCACTCTCAAGAAAAGGTACGGAACTGTCACTGGGGTGGTACCTTCAAGGGTACATCTCAGTACCTTTAGTCAGGGAACATAACTGAACCATAATCCACTGAAATGATATGTTCTAAGCTGTACTGACTCCACACACCCCGTCTCGCCTCCAGGCTTTTATTTTACTGTTCTGTTTTAAAACATTCGGTTATGAAAAGGTACAAATACAAACTTTTCACCTGGAAAAACTTATTTAAGGTTCACAACTGGACCTTAACACCACTGTTGTACCTTTGAGGGAACATTTACATTGTTTGTACCTCGATGAATGAAAAATGTACCTGCACAGAACCTTTATTTCTAACAGTGTACAATAATGGTGATAAAAACCAGGGCTCTTATATGTAACCATTTTATTTATTATCCAAAATTACCTGCAAACCTACACATCTGATTTTTTATATGCCGTCTTGATAGTGATAACCTAGTGGTAGATCTGGGAGCTGTTTTGCCTCCCACCTCTCCTGCATGTACATTTTAAAATACATTTTAGGCCACAAGCTTCTCTCAGAACTACCATAAAAATGTCTTTGGCATCAGGCGTTTTCATTACTATTTCCTGTGATAACTTTCTGTGAAGTTTTAGAGGCATTAAACTGTTCAGGCGTTTGCTTCCTGTCGCCACCACTGCAAACACTTCTGATTCTAAGTTAAGGTAAGTGTTGTGTTCATTATACAGGGTGATTCAAAAAGATTCATTCAAAGCGCCATATTTTACAACCGTGAGGCATCTAGGAACCAATCACATTGTTACGACCTGGTCTAGGGTCAGGGCATAACAGAGAATGAGAGTGGGCTCTCTCTCCCCAGACCAGCTGCCAGACCAGACACTGGACACCACTTAAATCAGCAAACTATGCTGATACTAAGTTTGCAAGTGGCTACGCTAAATGAAAGTGATGGATTCAGGGATGAGCATATGCCAAAACAACAAACAAAACTGCTAATGACAACAAAAACTAATTTAACCTGAAAGCAAACCAAACCAAATGCAATTGAGTGACCCTATCTCCCTGCTTTAAAACCAGGAGAAACAGTAACCAAAACAAAAAGGCACCCGTCCCCTACCGTCCAAGCATTCACAACGAGTTTTACAGAGTGTAACAAAGCTTGCATGGAAGCAAAGAGTGCCAGGCCAGTCTGGAGAGGTGTTCTTCCAGGTCAGGTTAGCAGGGAGCAAGCCCTGAACGTCTCCCGAAATGAGGCCTCAGCCACCTCTTATACCTCTGTGCGCCCCCGTCTGGCCAATCCTGTACCTGCACATAAGGGGACACACAACAGGGAAAACAGAACGCCAGCACAAGGCACACAAAAGGTATATTACGACCAGGGGTCGTAACAACATACCAATTGAAAGAGGGGATCATAGAGTTTCTGACTGTCAGTGGAAGATGGCTCCCTTCAGTCTGAGAGGAGATGAGACCCCTGAGCAGAAAGCGTTCTGTGTTCTCCACTTCAATAAGAGTGAATCAGTCATAACTGTGCAACGTGATTTTCGTGGGCAGTGAACCTCCAACAGCTCAGAGCGTTCGTTGTTGGTTCCACAACACTGCATCCGAAATCGCACTGAAAGAGCCGTGAGTGCAGCGACACCCGACATGCTCAATCCAGTATGGGATGAATGTGACTATGGTGTTGATGTTGTCTGTACAGCTGGAGGAGGTTCATACTGAGACCTTGTCAAATTACATATTAACTTTATGCTCAATTAAACTATTTACAGTTTACTGCATTGTTCTGTATTGATTTACAAGTGAAATAAATCATTTTGAAATTGGATGAATCTTTTTGAATCACCCTGCACTACAGTTTTAGACTATAGTTCCCGCAACTGTCCACCAGGTGTCACTATACATGCACTGAGATCACTGAGAATCTGTTGTGTGTGAAGAGTGTGTACCTGAGAAGCAAGCAAGTCAATAGAACGTTTTGCTCTGTTACTTGAGTCTTGTTTTTTTTTTATATATATACAACTCACTTCACAGAAGGTTTCTTAAAACGGAGCATTTGAGGTCAAAATATTCTCAATGACTTTGTTTACTGTCTTTATCTTAACAACATAAGTGTGCCGAAATGTGGAGAAATCCCTTTTAGTTAAAAGGTTGTCCTAATAGACGACCCATGAAGTCACCATATAGATGTAATTTTTTGGTTAAAAAGATGTAGTTCAGGAATATTCCTTCAGGGAATATAATATATTTAGTCAACATGTTTTCCATCTGCCACATTTGTTTGTTTACAGTATTTTGTACTTTGATAATGGACTGTAGCTTATTCTGTAGATACGGCAGGCAGAGGTTATGTTGAAAAATCCACAATGCGATATTAAAAACAATAACATAACGTAAGGGGTCAGGCACCAGCCGCCACTAGGAGGCATGGGAGTCGTGCCAAGAGAGCTGTAAGGTGCAGCTCCCAGAACTCCAACTCCCAGAAGCTGACCGGTTGCACCTGGGGAGCGCTGCATAAAAGCTCGCACAAATGGCAGCTCAGTGTTACACCTTTGTAGAGGGGTAACTGGTAGCCCAGGTGGAAAAACAGACAGAAAGAAAGACAGAAAGAAAGACAGACAGTAAAAGAAAGCACAGAAGTGGGCAACAAAGAGGAAAAGAAAAGAATGGGCTCCAAAGGAAAAGACAATTTCAAGGCAGGTTGGTGAGCTGGACTCACCCTTAGGCCCTCTTGAGCTTGAGGGTGGTTTTGTGTACCTTTTGTTTGAGCACAACGATCTTAGGCGCCTCCTTTGTTTGCCATTCCTGCCATTTCTATTCCCACCACCTAGCATAGCTCTCCACTCTCACCGAACAGTGACACTAAATATATCTATTTCTGTTTAATATCACTATGTATTCTACACACTACAATAACAAATAAATAACTGAATAAACACCCTATATATATCAGTAACTCCAATGCAGAGGTGGAAAGTACTTGACTGATTGCACTTTGTTACTATATTTTATTACACTCATGCATTATTGAAGTTGAATGCTCATACTCAAATATGTTTACTAAAAAAACATATATTTTGCTCCTTTTCATTTAAAACTTGTTAAAAATATCCAATCTCTTTTTCTGGTTCTGATTTCCAATCAGTATTTTATTTTTTCCTGAATATATGGCCGGTGGACCCAAAGTTTTATTACACACTTCTATAACCTTAGTACAGCTCAACCAGTTTGCAGTGAAGTCCTTGTAGTTACTGAATAATTAGCCTTAGTATGTAAAAAGCCTGGGATTTTAAGGGGTTAAAACATAAAGTCAAAGTCAGATGACTATAAAATGATATGCTAATGCATCTGCGTGCCAGGACTGGTACCACTAGCTGTCAAACAACACACCACCTGCTTGTTGAAATATTTCTTTACTACTGATTCCTTAGCAAATTGATTAGTCATGCAGGGCTGGGTGTGATCAGCCCACTGACGTAACCATGGTACTGGTTACCATTACAATAGACCCTTTTCACAAGAAACGGAAGTGCGTAAATGCTGGGTAAAACAAGTTCTGCTATTGCCTTATGGGCAGTTATTAACCTTAGAAATGTAGATGTGCGTATCACTTCAAACACACAACAATGTGCAAGTCTAAACTAAATAAAGGATATAAATGCTTCGTGGAAAATTTCCTCACAGTTATTAGAGTAAAATTACGTCTTCAAAGAGATAAATCGATGAAGGTTAAAATAACTATAACCAAAATGCTAGATAAGCCATGTTAGTTGGAGATGCTGAAATAGCTCGCTAACAATAAACTAGTTGGCAAAAAGCTACACAGGCACACATCGGGTCGTCAGGGTCTGTAGCGCCACTGTATACGTTTTACACAAGTGCCGGCTCCAGTGAACGAACATCTATTCCCAGCTGAGCACTCACTCTTTTAGATACTGACAGCTTTTGAAGGAGAAAATGAAAAGTCGCAGTGGGTGGAGGGGGCTCCAAATTAATTCCCATGGTTTTGGAATGGGACGCCCAACATGCTGATGGTCAGGTATCCATATACTTTTAGCCATATGGTGTATTAGGACACTTTGACCATTGGTAAACTTCAAAGAACTTCTTTAGGCTACTTCATTAAAAAGAACTCCAGCCAGACTCCACTAAGCCTACTGTAAAAGCAAGCATTGAACTTTTACTGTATGAACAGTTGCGTGCAAAAAAGTTTCTGAACTCTTGGATCTACATGGACTTCTACACAAATGGCTCCTAAAATATTAAATAATTTTCATTTCTTACCTTTCCCAGGGGTCTTCTAGGAAGACAGGCATACAAAAACATCTCTAAAATAAATACAGGACGATTCAGAAACAGTGTTTTATTGTTCTTGAGCTGCTGTATTTGTTTTTGTTTATGACAATATTAAAAAAAGAAAACAGTCCATTTAATGATTGACCTAAACAAAAACAAAGTATGGTGTCATACCTGCATCTATAGAATGTTCTGCATCTATAGAATGTTTGGAATGAGGAGTTTATCTCTAAAGTGTAAACAGAAACATACATGGGCTCATTGTGTTGTTTTGTCTCTGATCTGTGAGGGATGAGTTTCGTTTATGCAAAATAGCTCCACTTTTCAGCTGATCTCTAACAATAACCAGGAAACGTCACCTGAGCCTTTGTTTTAAGATTAGCACTGAAAGCAATGTGCAACATCTGACATCCTGACCCTCCAACACCAATGTTAAGGAGATATTATCTGATATAGTATAGTAATATGTAAAAATATAAGAAAATACATATATCAATTGTCGTCAGGTCCTGAAAGGCCAGAGGCCAGCACATTATTATTGTTATCATTATTATTATTATTATTTGGCAGTAGTAGTAGCAGTAGTATTAATATATTTTATTTAAATGCACCTTTCAAAGCCTCAATACTCATACAACAGAGAAGTATCTCAGAAAAACCAAATTAATGAATGAATTAATGATGTCACAAATGTGTGCACCAATTTTTCTGTACTAGTTTTCGAGAGGAACAGCCAGGTCTAGGATCGTATCTATCATTTAAGGAAATATAAAAATCTGATAAAATGAAAGTTAATGACCGTGCATATTCAAAACTGTTATCCAATTTCTTATCTCTGAAAGTTATTCCTATTAATTGCACAAACTCATTTTCCTCTGCTCATGGTCAGCTGACAAACCACTGAAACTAAGATGAGGTTGTTTTTGCTTCAAGCTCGAACACTAGAGTGAGCTGTACACGCTCTACTCCTCATCATTGTTATTGTTACAGCTCTAGCGAAAGCAGCGTTAACCTGCAGCGACTACTTCCAGGAGAAGAAAATGCAGAAATGTGAAAAGGGCATTTTGTTAGGACCGATGTCTTTAATGCTTGATGTCATGACACATGCTATTGTTTTCTACGTGTAGTCTAGTTAGCCATCATGACATTAACAACATTATCAACATTATGACAAACGTCATGACATGTGGATGGCATGATTGTGTCAGTGTTATGTAGCAGGGTTCAAGTAAAATGTTGACTAGTTTTGTTCAATGAAATTCTTAGTTTGTAAGTTCTCCCAGGTGCTGCAGCGTCATAGGATACTGCCTTAGTCAGTTCATTAAATTTCTCCCTGCTAGATCTGCCCCGGTCAACTGTAAGTGCTATTATAGTGAAATGGAAGCCTCTAGTAGCGTCAACAGCTCAGCCACGAAGCGTAGACCATGCAGACACACCAAGCAAACTCACACCTACTCCTCTGTTACATTACTCACCACAGAGTTACAAACTGTCTCTGGAAGCAACATCAGCACAAGAACAGTGCTTCAGGAGACTAATGACATGAGTTTCCTTGGCTGAGCAGCTGCACACAAGCCTAAGATCACAATGTGCAATGCCAAGTGTCGGCTAGAGTGGTGTAAAGCATGCTGGACTCCAGAGCAGTGCAAACACGTTTGCTGGACTGATGAATTACGCTTTACTGTTATTCAGTCCGAAGCAGGAATCTGGGTTTGGCGACTGCCAGGAGAACGCTACTTACCAGAATACATAATACCCAAGTTTGGTGGAAGAGGGAAAATGGGCTGGGGTTGTTCAGAAATGCACCAGCCACCTTTTGAAAGAATACTTCTGCATGAATCGCTCCTAAAATATTAAATAATTTTCATTTCTTACCTTTCACAGGGGTCTTCTAGGAGAACATACATACAAAAACATTTCTACAATAAATGCAGGACGATTCAGAAACAGTGTTTTATTTGCTCTTGAGCTGCTGTATTTGTTGTTGTTTATGACAATATTAAAAAAAGAGAACAGTCCATTAAATGATTGACCAATACAAAGACAAAGACTTTAAATGCAATCCCAATACAGTGCTAATTCAAATTAATTGTTTCCTTCACCTTTACCCTGTTTTTGTACTATAATACTTTATACTAACAATGTTTACTATCTGGTGTCGACCAGAGGAGGATGGGTTCCCCTTCTGAGTCCTGGTTCCTCTCAAGGTTTCTTCCTGTTTATCTTAGGGAGTTTTTCTATGCCACTGTCGCCACTGGCGGCGCTCATGGGGGCTTGGACCTGGATTTCTTTCTGTAATGCTGATTTCCTTGTAAAGCTGCTTTGTGACAACACCTGTTGTAAAAAGCGCTATATAAATAAACTTTACTTACTTACTTACTTACTATAGAAACACATTTAAGCCTCTATGGTGTCACACATGCATCTATAGAATGTGTGGAATGAGGAGGTTATCTCAAACAGAAACATACATGAGCTCATTGTTTTGCTTCTTCTCTGATCTTGGCGGGGTGTGGGGGGGGATCTCTAACAATTACCATGAAACGTCACCCTGAGACTTCTTTTTTGAGATTACAACTGAAAGGAATGTGCAACCTCTGACATCCTGACCCTCCAGCACCAACTTTAAACAGATATTATCTGATATGATATATAAAAGTATAAGAAAATACATAGATCATTTCCCTGCTTAAACACCCCCACTTATTAGAATAATACTAAGCATTTACTGATCACCAATAATAATAATAAAATTAATAATAATAATAATAATAATAATATATTTTATTTAAATGTACTTTTCAAGAATCATATAACAGAGAAGTATCTTAAACAATAACAAAACAAATACATTAATGATGTCACAGAAGTGTTCACCAATTTTTCTGTACTAGCTTTTGAGAGGAACAGGCCTGGTCTAGGATTCTATCTATCATTTAAGGAAATATAAAAATCTAAAAACCTGAACGTTAATGAACATCCATATTTAAATTGTGAGTCATGCAATTTCTTATCTCTAAAAGACAGGATGGAAGTAGAGAAGTATCTGTAGGCCGAATAGACATATACAGCTGGGTGACGACTGCATAACAGTGAAAATCAATGCTGTAATGTCCCATTATATGATCGTGACAAAAGAAATGCTGAAAAAAGGGACCCAATACTGACCTCTGGAGAACACCATGAGAGGCAGTAGCAGTAGTCGGTTTTAAGGAGTTAATGGATATAAAATGTTTCCTATCTGTTAGGCATGGGTTGAAAACATTTGTGAGCCATGTTGGTGATAATTATTGAAATCAGATAACTTTTTTTATTGTACATTTAGATCCAGTTAAAATAACCTGAGGGTGGAAGGAAGAAAAGTAACTGTAGGCCGAGGAGATATACAGAGCTGGGTGTTGCCTGAAAAACAGTGGAAATCAATATTGTAATGTGCTTCATATGTCCCAGCGGGAGAATTGATGAAAAGAAGGGGGCCCAATACTAACCCCTGGGGAACACCATGAGAAGCAGTAGCAGTAGTTGATTTTAATGATAATTCCCAAAGATGCTGGATGAGTTGTGCAGAAATGCTTGTGCAATATGGAAATGATTGCATAGCACTGTTGTTGTTAAACTTAGTTATTGTTGAATAAAATAGCCAGTTAATGGTAATTACCATTACTATTTACCAAATGTTGCTGTACCACCAGAAAGAAATCTAAAAAAATCAGCAGTACTGCCCAATCTTCTCTGAAGCCTTTCAGAATTTTAGGTTTCATTTCTCTGGAAGGGCTCGCCCCCTTCCACTGCTGCAGTTAAATAGGTGTGGAATCCAGCTTTGGCATCATTAGACACAACAATGGACTGGGGTAAGTAAAGAACACCTGCTGCTTTCTCTGTACAGCATATATGACAAGAGTGCATTTATTTAGTATATGAATGACAGTGAGTGTGTTAACACTGCTTATTCTTCTCTCTTCAACAGCAACTCTTGCAGGAGTGGCAGTGGGAGCAGGTGGGCTGTATCTTTGCTCATCAGGCTGTGATTTGGTCTTTAAATCTATATGTTCTGTACAGTAGATTTGCTGCAATACTGTTCCTAGGACATCCTTCCAGTCCAGGCCTCTGTTTGTTGCTCTTTCCCAATTTCCACACTACCTATAATTAGTATCAATGTTCTCAATTTGGATTGGAAGCTGGAATAGAGCAAAAATGTGGATAATGTAGGCAAACAGTTACATTTTCAGAAATAAATAGGTCTTTATCTGTCACATCGAGACTCGCTTAGTACAGCAAGTACAGCAAGTACAGCAAGAGTTCAAATTTGTTCTGTCTGTTATTGGAGAATGATGTGACTTGTTGCTTCCAGCAGCTGCTGCTGTGGTTCTTTACACTCAATATAACTCTAACTCTTTTTGAACTCTTCTGTTAAAGAGATGATTTAGAGACAAATATACACAATTCACTCTTACCTCTCAATGTAGTCAAGACATGTTTGGTGTCTGAAGTTTGCTTCTTTAGTTTTGCAATAGAGCTACGAGGCTAATGTAGCTACAAAATGAAATGTTACACTCCACCAATTAGCTTTTTGCTAGCTGCATGCCAAAGTCATCACACACCTCAAACCGTGAGAGGTTGTTAAGTAATCTTTAACAGGCTTGCTTATGTGGTTTCTGACACTGTATGACACTGTTATCTGTAAAAAACCTAAATAACTTAACAAAAAACATTATCAAGCAGTATTAAAAGCCACCCATTTATCCATTTTTACACATGATTATATGTCATAAATTGTCAGAAACTACTTTATCAAGTCTGAGATTACATAATAACACAGTTTGAGGCAAGTAAGGCGTGCTGTTTGCATGATGCTAATTAACTACATTAGCCTACAGTACAGAAGCTCCAGTACAAAACAATGAAGCGAACTTCAGACACCAGCATTTCTTGGCAGAGTCTACTTTTGGGTAAAGCGGGGAAACTGTAAATTAGAATTTTTTGACCAAACTATTGCTTGTTGATTGCTGAGTAGAATTGATAAGGCTAAATAGCATCCTTCTGTCTGTCTGAAGTTGGAACAGTGGCATTAGCCCCAGTTGTGTTAACAGCAGCGGGTTTCGCCGCTGGAGGCATAACCGCAGGATCCGTCGCCACAGCTGCTGGTAAGGTGTCAGGAGGGTGTTTCACAAAGCAGATTTTCTTAGCTAACTAGATAACATAAAACAATCATTTGACTTAATATCTACTGCATCTGATTACCTTGAACAACAATTCCCTGCTATAGAACAGAAAACTGTTGACTCAAAACACTATGTTTTTGCACATTTGCCATCTTTACTAGCCTACTTTTCTCTGTCTGGTATGCATACTGAAGGGGTTTAGTGGAACTTCAGTAGCATTGTTATATAACTTCTTAACATTATTTGCTGAAATATAAACATGATATTTCTTACATTTGTTACTTTATACTTACACTGAACTTGCAAACTATGCATCAAGTATTCCTTGTAATAACTACACAATTACTATATTTACTTATTAAATACTACATACCAGCAAGTGCTACTGTAATACCTGTAGCTTATAATGTACTCTGGCCTATATCATAGGTATTTTACCTTGTTATTTAGGAGTCGCAGCATCTTTAATTGGAACCCATTTTTGGACCCCTCCAGCGTATGCCACTTGGGGCTCTTCTGAACAATTCTACTGTCCAGAAAACACGATCTGTCTTTAGGTAATAAAGCCTTTTATTCACTCACTTCTGATATTATACATTTTCTCATTTTAATTATTTCAAATCTTCCCAGTTTTTGTCTCTGAGTTTCTCATTTTTGCATCCACAGATTTGTTTGCGAGGAAGTGGATCCTCTGAAGCTAGTTCAATGCTAACATGCTAACTTGAATCTACATGAAGGAAAACATATGCACTACTGCAATTACCTCAGCAATAAAATGATGATAAAAATGTTCTTTCAGTTTTTGTGTGTTCTGATTGATTTAATGAAAGTACATTGAGACAGATGAACATACATTCTGCTTTTTTAAACTGCTAGCATAATTTAGCATTCTGAAAGTAGATGTGAGTACATATGAGACAATGTACAGTCAGGTGGGTGTGTTAGAGGGCTCTAGTGTCTTCACGGTCGAATGTGAAAGTGCCTTAATCCAGTACTTTTGCATTTTATGTAGATGTTACATGAGCTCTTCTCAGGTAGCTTCAGCGTTCAGCAATAGAACAGGTTAAACAGCTACAGCCTTTAGCCAGGCTGGTGGAATGACAATCTTGGAAACATGAGCATGCCAGGCCTTTCCCAAGATCAGGAGCCACAGCAATGAAAGTTGCCCTCTAGTTTTGGTGGTTGCAGAGTTCATACTATCCTGGGCTTGTGAAGACCAATTCATTACGCTACTCAAAATCAACATGGACAACATGGTGAAATGGTGCTCCCTGCCAAGTTTAGCCTCTGTGTCCTGATAGCACTATAACTGCTTTAATATCAACCAGCATGACCTCCAACTTTACTGGGTCTAGCTATGTTTACTACTTTAATCCGTTCTGTGCCATGAAGAGACTCTATTTTAAGATCAGGTTATTCCGAATGTATTAATGATGACTACTGGCTGAACTTCTTCAGCTTGTTCAGCTGAAAGCTGTCATTTCATTTGCCAAGCTAATTTGAGGGAGAAGTAAAACTACTAATATTATAAAATATCAATAATGAGCCATTTCTCATGTGCATGTTGTGGTAACGTTGTAACTGGAAGGTTAAATTATGCCTGTATTTTTTGCAGCTTGTTAATTTCAAAACATGACATTTATAATTTATATAGTTTGATCTAATATCAGTTTCCTTCCTCATGCATCTCATTTATCTACCTCAGACTCACAAATTGCATACATGGCAATATGTAAAACTGTACACATCATAGCTTTTTTTTCATAACTTATATTACTGTGCAAAACTGTACATGTATATATATATATATATATATATATATATATATATATATATATATATATATATATATATATAATAATTTTTTGTTCTTTTTTTTGTATTTAAATTCTACAAGGGGGCTACGCACCTAAGATGTTCACTCACCTTCGCACCTGTGTAAATGTCATGTGACAATACATGTGATTTGATTTGATTTTTAGGTTGACACATTTGGCAGATACAGCAAAAAAAATGTAAAACTGTCTCTCCTACATGTTAAGAAAAGAAATCTTTCTAATATTAATCGAACTTAAACATTTTACAAATGTACTTTAGTAATAGTGTTGAAAGAACATAATTTAATTAATCCAAAATATATCAAGTCAAACAAAATAAAATAAAATGTGTTTTTCCAAATCTCATGGGATTTTCTGAAATGCTTACTCAAATACATTCAGTGTGTTGTACTTAAAATACCAAATATCCTTCATTACATAACTATTTTGTCCTAGGGCAATGTTTTTGATGATTTCTTGTATTCAAAGCTTTTATTGGCTCTTGGCTTTGTCTATTTGTATATTGGGTGTGTATATTTGTATATTTGTTTTAATTGCCTTCTCTGTGTTGTTTTTCTCTTGGGTGTATGCCTATATTTTGGTTTAGAGCTTGGCCTCTTTATTGTTGGCATTAAATCCCTAGAAAATCTAAATCTGTGTTTTTTTCTAACTGAGTTAATATTGTTCCTCTAAGTCCACAACATACATATACAAAGTATGTCTTATGAATGCTTTCCCAAAGCTTGATAAATGTCTGCTGCATTTCACCAGTATTTCTCCCATTTCATGAAAAGGCTGATCCTAATAGTGAGTAATGCTTGCATAAGCATTTTACAAGGCTAACATGGTTTACCCTGCCCTCCCTTTGAGTCTGAGCAACCTAGCGAGCTAAAGATATTTAGTAAGCATCATTGTAAACAAGCTAGCTAGCTATCCATCCAGCTATTAATCTATCCATCTATCTATCTATCTGCATGTTGCATATATCTAAGATTCACTGGATGCTCATAATAATAATAATAATAATAATAATAATAAATAACTACATTTTATTTATAGAGCACTTTTCTGGTGGCAGCTCAGAGTGCTTTACAGACAGACGATAAAGCTTAACAGTAATACAAGAAATTATGAGTAATTGAAAATCATATTAAAAAAATGACATCACATTTACAGATAAATACCATGAGACTTAGAGTTTTAATTAAAGGCTGAGTAAAAGAGAGGCGTTTTTAAAGGCTTCTTAAAAGTGAGCACTGAGCTTGACTCCAGGTTTTCTGTATTTTACAGAAGGTATTTGCAGAATGTCAGTATCTGTAGATCCAAGATCACGTGCTGGAACATTAACAGACACTCTGTAATGTAATTGGTGCTTTAAGGTCATTTAGAGCCTGAAAAACTAGTAGCAGAGCTTTAAAATCTATACTGAACCATACAGGTAGCCACTGCAGTTCTTTTAAAACGGGAGTGATCTGATCTCTCTGTTTTGTTTTTGTTAGGATGCTGGTGCATTTTGTATGACTTGTAAAGGATGTATTGTTTTCTTAGGAAGTCCAGTAAGAAGATCATTACAGTGATCAACTCTGCTGTAACAAATGCATGAACAAGTTTCTCTGCGTCGCTCTGAGAGAGAAAAGGCCGAACTTTAGTGATATTTCTCAAATGATAAAACGCTACATTACTGACTGTGTTTACATGCAGATAAAACTTCAGATTTGGTATATGAAGCTAAAGAACAGAGCTTCTCTGTTCTAGTACTAAAGGATCAGTATTTCAGGTTTTTTGTGATTTAGTTGTAGAACACTTTGTGACATCCACTGAGAAATGACACAAAGCTCATAAGTCTGACTACAGAATTGTTATTAGAAGGAGTGGAAATGTATAATTGTTTTTCATCGTTAAACTGATATGATTCCTAATCAAACAAAACTCCAGTTGCTCACGTAGCTGTTGCTCTTGCACCAGCCTTGGAGCCAATAGTGCAGCACGTAGAGCATGCTGAACACCTCGCTTCCTCTTCTGTAGGTGGGCAGAGGTCCTGAGATGACGATCCTGGCCTCGGTCCTCTTCTTAATGTCATCTAGAAGTAATCCGAAGTGCTCCTTAAGGACTTTGGGATGAGATGTCGTTCACCTCCGCGTGAATGAACATGGTGCCGATATCCTCATATTTGCTCAGAGCCCCAGAAAATCACTTGGAAACATCCAAGACCAGGGGGCCTGGAAAACAAAACACAACAGCGTTACATCCAGAGCCAGCTACTTTCAGATGTCTGATTTTGGAATCTCCAATTATTAGAACAGTGTCTTGAGAGCTTGGGTGAGGGTGAGGTCCTTCTCTTTCCACAACCACGATGGCGTTCCCAGCATCTCTCCGGTGCAGGTGTGA